TGGGTATCAGTACAATCCATAATTATTTTAAATAAGCATTTTCACACTTTACCTGGGACAGAGAAGGTACTAATAAATAGTAACAAGGTACTAATAAATAGCAACACTTTCCCACTTCAAACTTCAGCTAGCAACCATGAAAATGTATTTATTTCTCCTCATTGTTTTCAGGTAACAATGAGATTACTTGAAGGATCAGCAAGTGATGGGAGAGGGCTATTAGAAGCATTTGTGTAAGGTTATAAAGCTTGGCAATAGCTCCAGCCTAGCTGATAAATATGGATGCTTCAGGGCGTGTGTGCATGACATACCTGAGCTGTGAGGGAGTTCTAAGTCTGTGTAGTTCATTGAAGAAGACACTGTTCATTGAGCAGCTCTTATGGAGATTCGTGCTGTTTCTTGCATTTTCTGCTTGATGATGAGAGTAGGAGTAAAGTATAGATGTAAAAAAGTCACAAAACCATGCAAGATAGGTTTTTAGAGGTAAATGGAGTAAATCTACACTTTGCAAAGGTATAGAGATCAAATATACACCTTGGTTCCATAACTACTACTACTAAAATGCCCCTTATTGTTGCTGCTATTATGAATATTTTAATTGCATAACTCGGGGGGGGGGGGGGATGTATTCCTAGAAACTTAACCTATTGGTTAAAAATGGCTATATTCAATGTACCAACTAGTCGTTTTCCTTACACGATTCTAGGTACAAGTTAATCCAGATCCTAAGAGTCATAGCAGATTCATATGAAGGCATTCCAAATTAGGAAAAGCAACCCCTCTGGGTCATTGCAGGCTAAATTGTCACATCGTCTAAACCATGGTGGAGGGTTTTTTTTGTTTTGTTTTGTTTTGTTTTTTTGTCAATTTGAATAAGGCCCGCTTGCATGGGTTGAATGCAGCCCTGCACTGCGTACATAGGTTGGGGAATAGACTAATGGCTGGAACTTAGCCCCACTGTGGTCCCTCAGCCATGCATTTGTATGTATGGCGAACAACCTGTAAAACTAGCTCCAACATCCCTGAGGTTCCTCTACTAAATTAAGCAACTGAGTCATCAGAAGAACCTGCAAAGCACTTAAATACATATGACTTCCAGATAGTTTAAAAATTCTTCTTTTAGTAGCACACCCTGATATTATTTAGGAAAATTCTAATCTGTGGGTGGAAAGCTAAGAGTAAAAGTCAACCCACTAGGAGCTCCATCCTGCAATACAGATGGAGCAGCAGCAAAAGACATTACTTTGACTGGGATAGGCAGAGTGGCATATAGTAAAAGAGGCATTTGTCTAGGCATTAAACACCTATTATGTGCACACCACTCTGCCAAACTTCTATAAGGTATAAAGTGAAAAAATATAGTCCTTGAACCCTAGCTGGTTTGGCTCAATGCATAAAGCATCGGCCTGTGGACTGAAAGGTCCCAGGTTCGATTCTGGCCAAAGGCACATGCCTGGGTTGCAGGCTCGATCCCCAGTAGGGGGCATGCAGGAGGCAGCCAGTCAATTATTCTCTCAAATCAATAAAATATATTTAAAACATTATATACATAGTCCCTGCCCTCAAGAATTTGAAATCTTCTTCCAGACAAGAAATTAACAAGGAAACTGACTCTAAATGACACTCTGGATCAAATTGACTTAATTGACATTTATAGAACATTTTCACCCCAAAGCTTCAGAATGTACCTTTGTCTCAAGTTCACATGAGTCATTCTCAAAGATAGACCACATGTTAGGACATAAAACAAGTCTATAAATTCACAAAGATTGAAATTATATCAAGAATCTTCTCAGATCACAATAGAAAGAAATTAGAAATCAATTACAGTAAAAACATATGGAGGCTAAATAGCATGATATTAAACAATGAATAGGTTACCAATGAGATAAGAAATAAACTTCCTGGAAACAAACAAAAATTAATGCACAACAATCAAAGCTGATGGGACACAGCAAAAGTCCTGAGAGGGAAGCTTGTAGAAGTACAGGCCTATCTTAAAAAACAAATTAATAATAAACTATTTAACTCTACAAATTAAAGGTATAGAAAGAGAACAAGAAAGAGAACAAGAAAATCCCAGAGTAAGTAGAAGGAAGGAAATAATAAAAAGATTAGAGCAAAATTAAACAAGACTAAAAAAAAAAAAAAAAAAAAAAATCATACAAATGATTAAACCAACAGCTGGTTCTTTGAAAAGATAAACAAGATTGTTTATTGATGAGTCTGGCTAAAGGTTCATCAAAGAAAGTGGACGCAAATAATTAAAATTATAAATAAAAGCAATGAAGGAACAACTATGCCAACAAGATGGACAATGTGGGTGAAATGGACAAATTCCTACAAAAATACAGTTTTCCAAAACTGAATCAGAAGAATAAGAAAACCCCAATAGACCAATAACAATTGAGGAAACTGAGACAGTAATAAAAAAACTCCCAGAAAATAAAAGGCCTGGTCTGGACAGGTGAGTTTTAACCAAACATTAAAAGAACTAACACCTTTCCTCAAACTATTAAAAAAAAAAAAAAAAATTCAAAAGGAAGGAATACTTCCAAGCTCTTTTTATGAGGCCAGCATTAACCTAATTCCAAAACCAAAGAAAAAGAACTACAGGCCAATATCCCTGATGAACATAGATGCTAAAATCTTCAACAAAATATTAACTAATTGGATCCAGCAATATATTAAAAAGACCATAGACCATAACCAAGTGGGATTTATTTCAGGGATGCAAGGCTGGTACAATATTTTACCCGTCAATAAACGTGATACATCACAAACGAAAGACTAAAATCACATGATCATATCAATCAGTGCAGAAAAAAGCACTTGACAAAATTCAGCACCTATTTTTGTTTAAAAACTCTCAATAAAGTGGGAATAGAGGGGTCATACCTCAAAATACTAAAGGCCATATATGACAAACCTACAGCCAGCATCATACTCAATGGGCAAAACTATGACCATTTTCCCTAAGAACCAGAAACAAGATAGGGATGTCCATTTTACCACTCCTGTTTGACATAGTGCTGGAAGTCCTGGCCATAGTGATCAGACAAGAAATAAAAGGCATTCAAATTAGAAAAGTGAAAGTAAAACTGTCATATTCACAGATGACATGATATTGTACTTAGAAAACCTAAAGACTCCACGAAAAACTACTAGATTTAATAAAAAGAATACAGCAGTGTAGCAGGATACAAATTAACACCCAGAAAATATATGGCTTTTTTATACACCAATAATAAATTCTCAGAAAGAGAAACTAAACAAATACAATTTAACATAGCAACAACAACAAAAAGTTAAGATACCTAGGAATAAACTTAACCAATGAGGTAAAATACTTGCATTCTGCTAACTACAGGATGTTAAAAAAAAAAAAAAGGAAGATATATTGATAGATATAAACATGTAGAAGAATATACCATATTCATGGATTGATAGAATTAACATCATTAAAATGTCCATATTACCCAAAGCAATCAATAGATTCAATGCAATCCCTAATAAATTTCCAATGGCATATTTCACAGATAAAAAAAAATACTTCCAAATTTTATATCAATCCATTAAAGACCCTGAATGGCCACAGCAATCTTGAGAAAACACCACATTGGACAGATACATGCAAAAACAAACAAAAAAAAAACTAGATCACCAACTTCCACCATACACAAAAATAGATTCAAAATGGATAAAAAAAACTTAAATGTAAGACGTGAAACCATAAAAATCCCAGAAGAAACCATAAACAGTAAAATCTCAGACAGTTCTTATAGCAATATGTTACTGATATATCTCCTAGGGCAGTGGTTGGCAAACTGCAGCTCCCTAGCTACATGCAGCTTGCAAGCCAAGGGACCTATGCATTGGTTAATGCTAGGAAGTTAGGAAAGCTGCCAAGATGCCATTAAATTGTGAACAGTGACAGAAAAAAAAAAAAGTTTTTCTCCCCAAAATTTGAAACTTTCAAGAAATTGGTAACACCAGAACTGTCTTTTTCAATTAGAAAAATTACTATGTCTTTTGAAATTTTACCAACCTACCTTTGTTAAATAGTGTTGATGAAGTACTTTGGGCAGATGTCCACAGATTGTCTCTTTTATCTTTGGGTTTGCCATAACCAACTGATATGAAGTTTCAAGATAGATTTTGTGAAGGAGCTGCTTTAGGGTCGTGTTTCCAGCTAAAGATGTTTTCTGTAGGGGACAACAGAAATGAATAAAATCATTGTTAAGTGTCAGTTTAATTACAGTGTAGCAACTAGTAGAAATAACACTGAAATCAACTAGAACTTACCCCCAAATTTATTATAACTTTAAATAGATTAAATAATAATTCAATAATGAATTGGGGGTGACACTAGAAAATGTCACCTTGATGAGATAAATGAGCAAGGAACAAGAGAAGGAGAAGAGGGGAAGTGAACAAAACTCTACGGCCCTCTTAACTGCCTTACTTAGTTACCTGGGACAGTAGGCTAATGTGAACATACTTGGTGAACACCATGGATAGCATACAATCCATTGCTTTATCTTACTATATAGTAGGGACTCACCCATTTGTTGACTGAGTGAATGATGGATCCCGTGGAAGTTCTGAAGGGATAGAATTCCTTAAAGAATTTTTGGGAGAGCTACAACCCAAGCCACGCAACAAAAAATAGATTCCATTCCCCAGGAGAGTATTTTTTATCTGGGTATATTTATAATATTTACGACTTTTGGATTGAAAGATATTCTTGACCTATAAGATAAGCCTTGTTATTTAATGTGAACACACTTTCTGGCTCAAATATGTATTCCTGTGAAAGTGGCAGAATTGGACATTTGAATTGGCCCAATATGCTTTTACAACTCCACTAATGACTGGTTTTTAAAAAGCTTGGTTTTTAAAGAGCTTGGTATCTTTTAAGAGGTCTCATTGGAAAAGAGCATAGGAGATTTCAAATTCGCTTTGATGTCATAACCACTCTTATTCAATTGTTTTCACAGACCATAAACAAGACTGAAGAATGTCTGTCCGAAACTTTGCCTTGAATGAAGAGACTTCATTGAACAAGAAGTTGGCTTCCAGTTTGCACAGGCGTCCATGGAATGCTTTTCTTTTTTAATTTTGTACTTTACCCAATGAAAACAAAGCGTTTTGTGTGCTGTGCAAATGGGTCCTTCATGTGGTCTGACAGTTTATTTTTTTGCCATCATTTTTTAAAGTAAAAAAAAAAAAATCCCAGAAGAGGAAAAACAACAGAAACAAAACATGGAAGTCTGACATTTGATCTGGAAGAACATTTGAAGTCAGAATTGACCAGAAGGTGTAGATAGATTTTTTTTTCCTTTTTCTTTTTAACAGAAAATCGGATGTCAAGAGGTGGGCAAGCAGAAATGGAAAGAAATTGTCTTCCTCGGTAATTAAGCTACTCTCTTATTTTTTTTCCTTCTTGTTTAAATATGGGTTGTTTTTTTACTTTTTTTCTTAGAAATATTTAGGTAAGGTTTATCTTGAATCTTAATTGCCTTAATTTTAAGGACGTCAAAGGCTCTCGAGGCAAGCTGTCAACGTCTTGTTAAAAAAATCAAGAAAGAATTGAAATATTGTGCCAGCTTTCACTGGTACAAAAGCTTAAGACTGAGTTTTTAGGGTGAAAAAATACTGTACAGTTTAAAAGAAAATGTTTTTCTTCATTTGAAGAAAATTTGTTGATAAAGAAACCATGGCAACTGCGAGAAATGGAAAAATGCTGGGACTTTTCATGAACTTTGTCTTAAGTGTTGACCCATTCGAGAAGGCTAAAACATTTTATGGTAAAGTTATTAAGGTTGGTTTAAAAAAAACACAAAAACAACTGCATTAGAAATAATGCGTGTTTGGGGGACAGAATGCAGATTTTTTTAATTTACAAAGCGTGATTGCTAGCAAAAGCATTAGTGCTTTTTATCTGCAGTCTTTTTTATGAGCTTTACAAAGTTTTTAGTCAGCTTTGCTTGTCACATTGCAAAACCTAGCTTAAGAGCATTTAAAAAAAAGAAACAAAAAAAACAAGTAGATAGCAGCTTACGGTCAAAAGTGCAAAACAAAACAAAAAACAAAAAAAAAAAGCAATAGATAGAGAAATTGTTGACAATTTCTGTAGTCTTTCCTAGTTGTGATCAAATTCAGCCTATGGATGGCCTATTTTATACCAAAGATGAAGTGGCACCCTATTGCAGTCCAGAAGATAGAGGTCATTTTTCTTTACTTTTCGTTAAAAAATTTTTTTATTTGACCTACATGGCTGGACCAGTTCTTACTTTGTTTAAACTACCTTCCACTGGTGTTTTACATACTGCAAGAAAAAAAATTATTTTTAACATTTGTTGTTAGTAGAAGCTTGCACCTGCTGTGTTCAGCAGTTTCAGCATGCAGAGTTCTGGATACCAACTGACAGAGCCAAATGGCTTTCAATTCCATGAGCTTTGCCAGTTCCTTGCTAGCTCCCTTGAATAGTGAATCCTATATGGATGGCCACCAGTAAGCGAAGACACTTTAACAGGTTGAAATTTCTTTTTGTGAATTTTGAACGAAAGACACTTTCTGAACCTGGTCTGAAGGGTCACTTGTCCAAAAAAGAAAAAAAAACTGCATAGTGATATTCTGTTAAGTGGTGAGTGGTCTCTGGAAAAGGTCTCATTGTATTAGTAACAATAGTCTTCCTTCTAGATTCCAACACCTCTTGATTTTGTCTTTGCACCTTAGTCTTTGTTCTCATCCACAATGAATAGGCACCTTGATTCTGCAGGGGGGAAGGGGTATCTTCTTTTTGCCTTTTTTTTTCCATTATATTTTCATATCTTGGTGTTGTCAGAAGAAAGACAAAATAGACCTTTGTACTTCAGTTTAACTCTCTGAGACAAGTAGGACCAATAAGATTGAGGGTTCTATTAGTGGAATTTAGGTAAGCTTTTAAAAATGCTAGTTGACAATCAAGAAATTATGGTTTATATTAATAAAAACCAAAACAATTGGGTTTGATCAATCTCTAAAACCAAAGGAGATATATTTGCATTGAGAATGATTCAAAGCTTTTTCTAAAGTGAATTAAATTGATGGAACAAACATCACTGCATATTTGGTTCATGAAACCCATATTCAACCTACACTGTTTTACCTGAAAGTAAGGACAATGAACCTTTGTTAATTGGACCATGCCTAGAATTGCTTTTTGAAAGAATCTTTAGAATTTAAGTAGAACTCTTTTCACAAACTAAGTCATAGGAACCTGTTTTAGTCTAGAATAAGAGGGAAATGCATTAAGTGCACTGTAAAAGAAAGCAGAGTTGGCTTTTAAAAACTATTAAAAAACTTAAAAGATAAATCTTTTCTCCTTTATATCAACATGGGTAATGAGTTTGATTTACATGAAAGTGTCAATATTTCACCCTTTATGACCTACAAACAGAAGCCGAGTGTTGAAATAGATCTGGTTCTCTTATTTGCAACACCATGTATTGGAAACTCAAATTTAGAGAGTGACTCCATGTCTTTGTGATCAAATTATAGGCAAAAATATATCCAAGAAAACGTAACATGCTACAGAGAAATTTGAACTGGTCACACCCATCCTTATGGTTTTCCATGCTTTAGAGAGAATCCTACCATGTTTCCCCAAAAATAAGACATCCCTTGAAAATAAGACCTAGCGCAACTTTGGGAGAAAAAATTAATATAAGACACTGTCTTATTTTCGGGGAAACAGGCTAGTTTCCTACTTCCTTCTGTTCCATACTTCAGCCTCTCCTGTATTTTAAGGGTGGCACTGAAATCTTATCTTTGAGAATTGGGCCCCTATGTTTTAAGGGGTATAAGCAGACCATGTATGGGAACTGTATTTTCTCTTTCTTTTTTTTTCACTCTCTGAACTCTTTGTATAAATAAGGATTATCATGGGCATAATTCATTTGAATATGAAAACCAACATGCTTTCTTTTGTTTATGTAAAAAAAAAAAAGTGATACAAAGAAAGTCTCATTTACACAACCAACAATGAGGCTAAGAGGTAGCTACCATGTGGCTGATGAATGTGCCTAGGTAACTTCCTGTTTCTATTCAAAACTACTGCTTTATTTATACATTCAGAAACATTTTTTTCAACTATAAAATTTCAATGATCTCATTTTTTTAAGCCACTTCAGGCAAAAGGAAATTACCTATAATTTTATGTATCCATGTGTGTTTTGTGTTTAGATTTTTTATATCATGCCATTCTATAAAATACCTTTCCATTCTATAAAATACCTTCTTTCAAGTCAAAAAAAAAAAAATGGCACACATTCAAATTTGCATCTGTCATTTTGCCTAGTAATTGTTTTTTAAGAATCATGTCTGGGGAGGGGCGGGAGCAGGAAGCATCAACAGGTAAGCAGCATTACATTGTATTAAAAATAAAACAACCCAAAATCTGTGTTCAGTATAAGCAAACATCAGAATCCTAATTTCATCAACACTAGTTACGGATATTTTTATCCTATTTAGGTCTGTAATATTTTTTTTTTTTTTAACTATTCTAGTTCACCAAGTTTTCAAGCATTTATTTCGGTGTTCAGTTTTTCATTGCAATTTTAAATGCCAACACACCCTAAACATTAGAAAACTCATCCAAACTCTAGTAAACAAGAACACTGGAGGAGGATGGTTGTTTTCTTTTTGTTTTAAATAGTAAGATGTTGTCAGGTGTGGCCAAGTATGCCTAGTCACTGGGGGCTCCTCAGTGCATGGCCAGTCTCTTGAAGACAAAATGGACCCTATGGGAACTCAGTATGATATTGGCAGGGGCTGATGACTGTCCTTGAACATTGCCATGTCTTGAATATTGAAAGTGACATAATAATGTAAAAAAACCAAACCAAACAAAAAAAAACCCTCTATCTGACTCCAGTTTGGTCAAGGTTAGTTTGTTTCCCTGGTAGATTTCAATTGTTCAGGTGTTGTCTCCATGCTTCACTTGAATCAATTCTTCCTGTGACCTTAATGGATCTGCCACACTTGACAGCATATAAGACTCACCTTCAACCTTTTCTAATGAAAAACTATACGGTGTTAAAAGCACTCACTCTAGAGCAGGAAGGCTGAGAGCAGCAGGTGGATAAATGAAATCGGAAGTTCACTGTATCCACAGAATACATCAATCTTTTGCAACATTGCTTTAAGATTATTTTCCATTCATGTATGACCCCCCAAAAAATACTTCTATTTTCCCCCCCAAAAGCAAAACCACTTGATTTGAATAATTGGGATGCCATTAAATACCTATGTACCTTTTACAATGGTCTAAAATCTCCATTAGTGAAAAGTGAGATTTGATTTAAATAGGACTTTTGCAGTCTTCTTCACGATTGAGGAGTTTCAATGTGCTGTCTGGACAGATTATAATGTTAGTAGGAGACTAAAAATACATTTGACAATTGAGTCTCATGCTTCATTTGAGCACACAAACCACTGCAGATGAGCTGATAAGCAGAGAAAAAGTCTTTAAGTGGGTTTCAGTGACAAATGTGTTCATGTGATATAAAAGCAAATGAAAGGGTAATATTTATGTACGTGCAGTACAATACTCAGCACTTTTGAGGGTCACTTCAAAACAACGTTAAAACATATCATGGAGCCCTTGATCTGTAGTATCTTGTCCACAGTAGGAAGTAAAGGATGAGATTTTGTTTTTGTTATTGTGGCTGGCATGCTTCCAAATTTGGAGTTCCCTGGGACTGACAGCCTCTCACCGCAATCAGAGGGACTGATGTAATTGAAGCAGGCTCATTCATTCTGCACACTAACCCCTTCCTGTGGCAGAGTGATAGTGGCATTTCATTAATGAATCAATTCATTTTACAAATGACATCCACTGTGGCAGTGGAGGACAGTTGAGTCTAACAAATTTAACAATTTTCACCAAATATATTTAAATATGTAATTAGTCTTTTCATCCAAATGCTCTTTGTCATGGCTGTCCTTTGTAAATGACATAATTCAGGAAAATACAAAAGCTAAATGTAAGATCCCTGAGTGGCCCCAAAAATCGTTTATGATACAGGGTAGGGAACTCACCCCAGATTGTTGACCTTTTATCTTTGGTTTTATACCCCAATACACGTTCATTCTCATATTCATTCATTCTCTCTCTCTCTCTTTCTCTCTCTCTCTCTCTCTCTCTCTCTCTCTCTCACACACACACACACACACACACACACACACACACACACACAGGATCAATGCCTTCTCAATATTTTCTTTATATTTTGGGGAGGAAAAGTAATGTTTCAAGAAATGCTTCTTTCACTCAGAAGCATTCAAGCTGAAGCAGAGTTGAGATCAAGCTTGGAACCTGCAGGAAGAAGCACTAGGGACTAGGCCATTGAGTCACACTTTCCTTCCATTTTATTCACTCCAGTTAATAACCATCCCATGACCAAATCTTGCAGAAATACAATCACTCTCAATTTTTGAAGGGCTAATTATCTACTTTGTGCACTTCTTTTATATTTTCTTTTCAACTATTAGGACTTGCGGCTCGAGTATTTTTTTTTTTTTAAACATGCCACCCTGAGGGTGGAAAAAAATAATTGGAAATTAAGTTAAAATTAGTTCTATTTTGCTCTTTGTTAAGTATTCATTTATTGATGGGAGTTTGAAATCATTTGTAAAGATTAATGTCAGAGCATTATATAGCATTGATTTGTTTTTATTACCCATGGTGTCCCTTTCCCATCCACCACAAATAATTGAGAGTTGACTGTATTCTTGCAAAACATAACAAAACATACATACACACACACACACACACACAAAAAAAAAAAAAAAAAAAAAAAAAAAAAAAAAAAAAAAAAAAAAAAAAAAAACACCAAAAACTGTAGCCAAGAATTTGACTTCCCTCAAAAGAAAGCTGTTTCAGTTTCCTTCACCTTTAAAACTTGAACCAGTAGAAAAGGTCAACTCAAAATTCAGTTATGAAAATATAATCGTTCTTAGTTAAATACACACTTATCCCTCTCTTAAATCTTCTATACACAAAACAAAATCATTCTTTTGTGTGTATTTTTTTTGTTTGTTTTCCCTTTACATTACTGTGTTAAGGCTGAATGACCTTGACATTCCAGTGGATTTATTTAAATAATCATTTCAAATTTAAATAGTGTCCAAAGTGTAACTTTACTGTTACACTTTGTATTTTAGGCCCTCTGGTCTTAGATTATTAAGAAAGATGCTCTGTCCTCCCTCAGTGTCATTCCCTCATCTATAAAAAAGGAGTATTCCATACTTTTCAGGAACTGTAAATACTTTTTCAAAGAGACACTTGAAAAAGTTTTCTCCATTCTGGAAATCAATGCTTTCATTTCCTTAAAAAGAAGAATTGGAATAGTAATTCAAAAATATATAGGTGAAAGTGTTCTTGCTATGAAATATTCAGTTTCTTTTTTTAAAAACGGGACAGCTTCTATTAAAACCCTTGTTTCAGGTCATATTTGACTTCATGAAACTTTTAGATCATCATTTAATTTTGAACTTAAGAGCATTTTGTACTGCTGTCTCTGTCATGGAAAGTTGTGTAATTCTATGGTGTTTCTGGTTTTATTTTTAATTTTTCATCTGTACCAGTCAAACTAGCTACCATTTCCCCCATTCCTTGGGCTTTCTGTAGATCAGTGGATGTTAGGTTTAAACTTGTTTTATTTGATGAAGCTTTCAATAAAAAATGGAAATAAAATCAACCAATTGGGCCATTGTGTTCTTTTCCAGAGATGAGTTGGGGAAGGGGCTAGTGGGAGAGAATAATGTCTATACATATTGAATTATTTATACTGCTGCTTACTGCTGCTTCCTACAGAATTCCTCAAAGAAAGAACAATCCATGGAAACAAAAAGAGAGAAGAGGGAGCATTCTGTTCATCACTATTTGGAGGTTGGGATGGGGGTGGGGTATAGACCATTTAGATCTTTCTAGGATCCTGTACATTCTTTCCACTTTTTAGGCTTCAAGATTTGGCAGTGGTCATCCAGCTCCTATATTCAAACATGTCTAACATCTACCAGCTACTTGGTACATCTTGTGTGAAGGTACATCTTGTGTGAAGGCCAGAAGATAATGATAACACTAAAAACATGTGGTTTTTACCCCTGCAAGAATTAAATTCCAGGTCAACCAAATTCAGATGTGTCTATTTCTCAAGCTATGGATGGCTATGATAAGCAAATAATCAGAAACTATCTTTCTCTGGTCCAGAAAAATCCAAACTAATTCAGAGCTCATATTCAAGGACCAAAAATATTCTGTGCTATATATATATATATATACATATATATATATATATATATATATATATATATATATATATATATATACATATATATATATATATATATATATATATATACATACACACATTTGCTCTCTTAAGAAGATTTGGTTCTACTCCAGAAGACAGGAAAACAAATGAGATGAATAAAATGTACATGGCATGTTATACACAACAAAGTAAGTAACCTTTAATAAAGATGAGAGTGGCATCAGGGGAATGGAGGCATAAGGGCAAATATCTGCCCCCCCCCCCCCCCAGATTTCAACAAGTTTACCAACTATAAATCAACAAAGAAATCCAGCCTCAACATAGACGCACACCTGAGAAACCTACACACTGAAACAACTAAAGGTAGGCAACTTGAATAAATGGAGAGATGAGAAGGGAGAAAGCACTGACAGGCCATAGATGCAACCCTGCAGCCAGGGACTCATGGCTTGGCTGGGAGAGGGGAGAAAGCCAGAGTTACCAGGCATTTCCCTTGGCCGCACAGGAGAAACATTAGAGTTTCAGGGGCTGAGGGATAGTCCAGCAGGACGAGCAGTGAGCAGTGAGAGAATAAACAGTGAGTCAGCAGATGCCTGACAGAACACAGGGTTCTGCTGGGTGGCACTCTACTCTCAGGCCAGGTGGTGTTTCAGACAAAGAAATGGAACCACAGAGCCCTGCTGATTGTTAGACTCCCCAAACTCGCCTCCTGTTACCCTTGGAGTTGGGTCTGGGAGTATATTATCTGTTAACCAAGAGCTGATGCAGTAGAATCAGTTTCCCTCTGTGATCGATCCCCAGAAGGGGTGCTTGGGGTGGGACCACATGGAAATCAGGGGTCACTATTACAGTGAGGGCAAAATAAACTCCACTCCCAAGCAGCCCAGCTGTACTGTCTAGGAAGCCAAGAAGGTTCAAGACTAAGAGACCAGAGAGGTAAAAATCTTACAATTTAGTCCTATCTACTGAAAAATAGTGGAAAGATCTCTTCAGAGAAAAATGTGGAAGCAAAGGAAGACAGCAAATAACATGAAGGACCAGAAAGAAAATGAATCACCAGAAAGGCTGGAACACGTGGAAATATGTAATATAAATGACATATTTCAAGGTTACAGTTCTGAAAATATCAACAAGATGCAAGAAATCTTGATAGGCAATTCAGGGCATTCAAAAAAAAAATGAACAAAATGAGGATTTTGCCAAGGAAATTGAAACTTTAATAAAGGACTAATCAGTCCTGGAGAGTTGGACTCAGTGGATAAAGCATTGACCTGTGGTCTGAGAGGTCCCAGATTCCATTCCTGGCAGATACCTTGGTTGCAGGCACATACCCAGTAGGGGGTGTGCAGGAGGCAGCTGATTGATGTTTCTCTCTCATCAGTGTTTCAAACTATCATTTTCCCTTCCTCTCTAAAAAAAAAATCAATAAAATATATATTTTTTAAAAAGGACTAATCAGAAATCCTGGAAATACAGCATGTAATTAAGGAGATTAGGAGTAAACTACTAAGCACAGAAAATAGAACCTACCATATAGAGGAAGGAATTAGTGCTATTGAAAATAGGAATAAAGAAATGACATAGGAGTAGAAGAGATTTGGAAATAAAGAAAAATGAAAGAGCTCTATGAGACCTATCTGACTCCATCGGAAAAATCAATATTAGAATTATAGGTATTATGGAGGAGAAAGAGAAAACATGGAATGGAGAGTCTGTTAAAACAGTGGATAAGAACTTCCCAAATCTATGGGAAGAGCTAGATCCTCAAATTCAAGAAGCAAACAGAACACCGAGTTACCTCAATCCATAGAGGCATTCTCCAAGGCACTTGGTATTGAAACTGTCAAAGAAAAATTTCTCAAAGCAACCAGGGAAAAGAAGAAAGTGGCCTACAAAGGAAAACCCATCAGAATTTCATCTGATTTTTCAGTAGGAACTTTACAAGCCAGAAGCTAGTGGAACCAAAAATTCAAATGTCTAAAAGAGAGAAATTATCAGCCAAAAATATATCCAGCAAAGTTATCCTTTAAATATGAAGGAGAAATAAAGATATTCCCAGACATACAAAAGCTGAGGGATTTTATCACCAGAAACTCCATTGCAGGAAATATTCAAGGGAGTTATTCTACTTGAAACAAAAAACATAAAGCCACAATACTATGAGTAATACCACCAAAAAACTTAAAGCATAAACAGGTAATTTGTGACAAAAACAACAACAACAACAAAACATAAAAGGGGGTCGGGCACAGAACTGGCAAAGGAAGATAAAGATTAGATGTACTCAAAAAGGAAAAAAACTACAATATATATGCAACTTCATTTTTTATAAACCTAATGGTAACAACACACAAAAATCTCCAAGCTAGGACATACAGTTAAAAAAAAATGAGGAAATGTATGGCATACCACCAAACATAAACAACAGACAGAAACATAAAGGAAAGGAACCAATATGGGCATAGAGCTACCAGAAAACAAAAGATAAAATGGCTATAGGAAATCCTCACATCTCAATAACTACCCTAATGTAAATGGTCTAAATTCACAAATAAAGAGGCACAGAGCAGCAGAGGGGAAAAACAAAGACACAAACAAAAAACACACACAACCATATGCATACAAGAGACACATCTAAGATGTAGGACAAAGGTTGATTCAAAGTACAAAGGGTGTTATAATTATTCTCCAAGCAAATAACATCCACAAAGAAAGCAAGTAGCCATACTATAACTGACAAAGTGAAATTCAAAATAATATGAGACAAAGATGGACACTTTTTAATGATAAAGGGAACACTACATCAAGAAAACATAACACTTCTTATTGATTTTTTACAGAGAGGAGAAGAGAGGGATAGAGAGCTAGAAACGTTAATGAAAGAGAAACATCGACCTGGGACCTTTCAGTCCGCAGACCGAGGCTCTACCACTGAGCCAAACTGGTTTCGACACAAAACATGACACTTCTTAATATATATGCACCCAACCAGGGAGCACCAAAACATATAAAACAACTCCCAGAACTAAAGGGAGAAACAGATCAAAACACATAGTTGGAGATATTAAAACTTTATTAATAGCACTAGACCAAATAAATAAATAAATAAATAAATAAATAAATAAATAAATAAATATTGTCCTTAAACACTAGACCAAATGGACATAAAGCACATTTACAGAACCTTTCATCCCAGAACATCAGGTTATACATTTTTCTGCAGGGCACATGAAACATTTTCAAGGATAGACCATATGTTGGGTAACAAAACTAGCATTAATAAATTCAAAAAGACTGAAATTATACCAAGAATATTCTCTGACCATGATGCCTTGAACTTAGAAATCAGCTGCAAAAAGAAAGTAAAGACACCCACGAATAATATGGAGATTAAACAACATACTACTAAAAATGATTGGTTCAAAGAAGAAATAAAAGATGAGTTCAAAAGATATATAGAGACAAATGAGAATGATAATAAAACATATCAAAACCTCTGTGATGCAGCAAAAGCAGTAACAAGAGGGAAATATATATCATTACAGACCTATCTGAAGAAATAAGTAAATAATCTAACATCACATGTTAAGATACTAAAAAAACAAAACAAAACAAAAAAACCCAAAGTCAGAAGAAAATAAATAAAAATTAGAGTAGAATTAAATGAAATAGAGAAAAGACTATATAAAAATCAATAAAAAAGCCTTTTTTGAGATTTATAAAATTGAGAAACTAGATAAATTCCTAGAAATATATAACCTTCTTAGACTAAATAATGAATTGGAAAAATCTAAATAGACCAATCAGCAGTGAAGAAATTGAAACCACCATCAAAAACCTTCCAAAAAAAATATCGAAAGCCTTCCAAAAAAACAAAAGTCCACGACCAGATGACTTCACCAGTGAATTCTACCAAACATTCAAAGAAGATTTAAAAGCTTTCTCAAATGCTTGCAAAAATAAATAAATAAATAAATAAATAAAATAAAAAATTATAAAAGAAGTAATAATTCCTAACACATTCTATGAGGTCAATATAACCCAGATACAAAACGTGGCAAAGATAAACACAAAAAAATAAACTACAGACCAATATTTCTGATGAATACTAATGCAGAAAATTCTAAACA